GGGCCACCGGGAGCCGCATCCACACTGGTCTGGGGTCCAGCAAGAGGAGCACTGCATCGTTCTGCGGTTGTCACCTGGGTCCTCTGGCCACACACTGCCCTGCCAGAGCTGTAGCACCAGTGACCGAGGACAGACGCCACCAGGTTGGTTCCCAAGGTCTAGATCTCCAGTAGAACGGGGGCCGGTGGTGGTGGATCAATAAATGGATAACAGAAGTCCAGCTGGGGTTGTTCCCTGGTGTGCTGTGCCTGCCCAATCCCCAGGGCGAGCTGAGCCTGAGACTGGGTGTGGCGGTGAGCGCCCGTAACCCCAGCGCTTGCAAGGCTCCAAACAGGAGGCGCGCTAGGAGTTTGATCTGTGTAGTGAGACCTTGTACTAAAATACATTACAAAGAAATAGTTAAAAAAGAAAAGCTCAACTGAGGTCCACGGCAGGCACCAGGCCTGGAAAAGGTGCGGGCAGTGGGTGAGTGGGCCCTATGGCCTCATCTCCGAGAGGGACAGGGCTCCAGGAGTCTGTGCGAGGGCTCCCGCGCCTTCATTCCTGCTGCTGGGGACTCGCCCCTGCAGGAAGGGACAGTGACACAGGCACACTCTGTCCACAGCGCCAGGGGCCTGGAGCAGGGAAGCGATGGGTGTGAGGGGACAAAAGGGGGGAAAGGGGAGAGGACAGGGAGGGAGGAAGTGCCCCGACGAATGCAGAAAGGGAGCGGGATGTGGTGGCACTCGCCATAAGCTCAACATTCAGGAGGCTGAGGCAGGAGGGTCACTGTGAGGTCAGGCGTGGCCTGGGCTACAGAGCAAGACTCGGTCTTACCCTGTCTCAGAATGAGTGTGAAATTTTGTATCCTTTCTAATATTATTTTTTATTTTTTGGCAGAACTGGGGATTGAACTCAGACCCTTGCGCTTGCCAGGCAAGTGCTTATTCTACTGAGCCATCTCCCCGGCCCCATTATTTTGTATTGTTTATTTATTTATTTATTTATTTAAATTAAGAGACATAGAGAAGAAACTGCAGTGGTGTGGGCCAGGTGACCTGGGCCCCCCACCTCAGCTTGGCCGCTCTGGCGCCCCCCCCACCCCATTGACTGCCCTGCCCAGCTCGGCCCAAGGATCCCTCCTCCCAGGCCCTCTAGGCTGAGTTGGTACCAGGGTGGGATCCCAGAGTCCCACTGAGGTGGGGCATCCCGGGGGAGTCACAGCCACAGCCACAGGCATGGCAGGCAGCCTCTCAAGTAGATGGGACTTCAGGTGCACAAGGCTGTGTCCCACCCCTCCCTCTCTTTCCTCCCCTCCTGGAGAGTCGCTGACAGTCCTGGGGAGTACCCAGGAAGCTCTACCACAGACACAGCCCCAGCAGGTTTTAGTTTTGGGGGGCTTCCCTAAACCGTCCAGGGGGCATTTGCAATCAGAACCCTCCTGCCTCAGCCTCTCTCAGTGCTGGGATTAGAGGTGTAAATCAGCACTTCCAGCCAGAGGCTCTAAGAAGAGCTCCAGCAGTGGTACCCACCCCCAGCTCATTCCCTAGAAATACCAACTTTTCAGCGGTTTTTGAGGTGATGTGTCCACAGCTGTCAGGATCCACATAAAAGACTTAGGGTTGGGGGTGTCATTCAGCAGGAGAGTGGGTGCCTAGCCCATGCTGGGCTGCAGTCTCCATCCCCAGTATGCCAAAAACCACACAACACAATTTGAACAGTCCCGTGCAGGGTGACACACGTGCAATCCCAGCACTCTGGGTGACTGAGGCAGGAAGCTCACAAGCTTGAGACCAGCCCAGGTAGCTTAGTGACTCCGTGGGGAAAGGTCCGGACAAGACAGGACAGGTGGCAGAGGAGCAGTCCTTGGAGGCAGGCAGGAGGTAGCCAGCCTTCTTCCTTGTTAGCCTTTGATTCCAGGCAGGCTGCTGCCTATTGGTTGGTGTCTTCTACATGCAGGGTGGGGATTCCCTCTCCGGTAACTCCAGCATTTAGGCCCAGAGTGATGCTCAGCCAATCACGGAATGATCCAGTATCACACCCGTGCCCCACAGCACGGGGTCTCCCCACTCCCCCAGGAGCGCCTGAGGCTTAGGAGACATCTAGCTAAGAGCTGTAACTCCATACCTACTAGGATGGCCATTGTAAAAATGGAGAACAGTGTGGGCTATGGTAGCACATGCCCGTCACCCCAGCTCTCAGGAGGCCGAGGCAGGTCACATTGAGCTTGTACTATACAGTGAGATTCTACCTTTAAAACAAAAAGTTGCCCCCTCAAGTGAAGCAAGGAAAGTGTACAGCTCAGGTTAGAGCCTTCGCTTGGGTGGGGGGACGCTGCTGTCCTTAGGCCAGAGCACAGCAGTCAAGCGAGGGGGGGAGGGTGCTAGATAGAGCCTGTCATCAGCTTTATGTGCCATCCCGGAGGGCTGTAACTGCTCCTGAACGACCCTGCTTTCTCCTCACCCTCAGGGCTCCGGGTGGAATTAGTCTCAGGCCCCAGATGCCATGGAGTCTGCTGTGATCCTGGTCCCTGGGCATGGTGGCCCTTGGTACCCACTTTGTCGTCCCCCCCCCCCCCCCCGCCAGGCTGGCCTTGCAAGGCAATTGCATGGGGTGGTGTCAATCCCGCTGGATCCTGATAGGGTCCCTGCTCCCTTCGACACAGGAGCCCTCAGCAGTGGGGAAGTACTGAGACCCTTGGGACCCGCTGGGGCAGATTATTCTACAGAAAAAGAATCAGGAAGCCAGGTGCACAAGAGTTAGAGGGCAGATTGCAGGCTTCCAGCCTTGGGCAGCTGGCCTGAGGCTGCCAGGAATGGGGCCAGGACTGCCAGACAGCGAGGCTGCCGGTACGCAGCTCCCAGCCCTAGAGAGGCAGACTGCCCACTTCACAGGAAACCTGGTTTCTGGATTTTGCCCTTGAGTGGTGGCATATGCCTGCACTCTCAACAAGCACCCTGGGGGCCTGCCCATTATTAGCTCAGGTGTTTAAGTGCCTGCTGAAACAAAGCAGTCAGGTTCAGGATGTTCAATCCCTAGTTCCTCAAAAAAAGTGCTGGGGGTGTTCAACCACACAGGGGCCCAGTGTTTTCGATGGGTCAATGTCTGACTGAAAGTGCCTTAGGCATGAGTGTCCACAAGAGGGCGCCGGCGCTCCCTGAGCACAAGGTGTATTTTAATGCATTCTGCAATGTGAGATTTGTACCACCAGTGAGGTAAGGCAACAGCTATAGCACCAAAGATTTGAGGAGGCTGAGACAGTAAAGTTTTTGGTGGTGCTGGGGATGACCTATACTGAATTGTACAGCCACACTTTTTCTTGACACTGTGACATTAAACTGTTCAAGCTATCCTGGATGGCTGGGGTCGGAGGTGTGTACAAAACCTAGCTGAGGGCTGGTGAGATGGCTCAGTGGTCTAAAGCACCTACTTAGAACAAGTAAAGCACAGGGACCACGGTTCAATCCCCTAGCACCACATGCCAGCCAGCCCCGCCCCCTGGTGGGCTGAGCTGGCCACACACACATACACACAAAAATAAATAAGTAAAATTAAGAAAAAATTAATTTCCTCAAAACCTAGCTGAGAATTTTTTTGAAGGTTGCAGGATCCCCCAGACACCTCCTTTCCCAAAGCGCTCTTTCTCTCTTGCTGGCTCTGCCCAGGTTGGCAGCTCTGCCAGGTGTTGCCCTGGGGCGCACAGCTGCAGAGCTTGGGACCCTGATGCTGCCTCCCTTCTGGCCCCCCACTGGCAGCAGTGTCATCTGTTGCTGGAGATGTCTGAGGGCCACACCCAGGGGACCTTGCCCCACCAACGGAAGGTGCTCTCCCGAGACCCCTCCCTTGTCTGTTCCATGTTTTTGCTTTTGAGGCTGGCTTTTGACTCTACACACATGCTGTCTTCCTGGGCGCTGGGGTTTATTTCACAACAGAACCACTGGGAACCTGGCCTGAGGCGCACACAAGGCTCCCTCCAGACGTGGTGGGACACAAGGTGACAAGCATGACGATCACAGCTGGGGTCAAGGGCTCCGGGTGGCCCTGATGGCATCTACAGAAGCAGTGGCAGGAGGG